CGTACCATAGCATTATGCTATAATATATAAGAGCTGACACTTTGCTATGATTTTCACTGACTTTTTCGATTCCATGTACACGAAAATGCTCTGGAATATATTTTTGAGAACATACATATCATATCTGTTGCCTTTCTCCGCGGTTTTCCGTCATTTATTCGCAATTTCGGAATAACACATTTCTATAATATTTCTAGTACAATTTTGTCATGACCTCTGCCACCTATTACTTGATAGAAAAATTGAATGGCCTTATGCAGTTGGCCCAATCTTTATAGTCACATGTCACAGTTTGTTTGAGTCGTCATACCCCAAAAATCTAAATTTTTCGTTGTAAGCTTCTAAATGCGCAATACCCTGCATCTTGTCGAATCTACCATTATTAAGGATTTAAAAGACAGATTTATTTGTGTTGCTTTCGAATTTAGAGTCTGAGTTTGATTTGCTCAAGACTAGGTCTACACCCACCAGTAAAGTTGTAGCTACGAGGATATCTCATTTTAGGAATATCAACATTCTCCTACTTGTCTTATAGGAATCGGACAACACCCTCAACTAACCCTGCATTTCTGATAATATTTTCCTTGTTACTTCTTTAAACACTTTTATTGACTTTCTCAAATGGGAATAGAGGTTAAAAAGTTTTGCACCCATACACCATATTTGCTCACATTAAGAGTACTTCTATGTCGGTTTAAGTTGCAGATCACACATATCTTACCCATCTACATTCCTACTCTCATTTTCCTTTTTTTTGTAAGCAAACACTCTTGTCCAGGATATGTATGTAGTTCGTGCATGTTTATTCTTACATAAGTGAGAGAATGCAATCAGGAACATTCTTCATTTTTCCAATTTCCTGCTAGTTGGACAGCTACTTGCTACTTTACTTAAACCTTCTTCTGCTCATCCTTGGTAAAATTTAAGTGTTACCATACTTTTTTTGGATGATTTTTTTGCACCAATCAATTCATTTCAGTGATTTTTTTTGTGCTTTCATTATTTCCATTTACCATGTTTCGAGCTTGCTGCCCTGCCTCACCTTCGACCTATTTCCTAGCACAACCACCCCACCTCCCATCTAGCCAATGGCATCATTTTCTATCAATCTCAGTGGATATTGCAAAAGGATTGCAAAATGTGGGAACAAAAAAAAACATATCACCAAACGTTTGTTGCCTCCATCAGTTTATCTAGTTTTGCCGACCGTTCAACTCCCCTCAAATTCAGTTGTTTTGTGCAAAACAAATACAAATCGTTACAAACTCATAAATCGTAAAGTTTGTTCTGCTATAACGCCGAAAAAACAGCAGCAGCAGCACCAAACAAAATCAACAACAACAACAATAAGAAGGACAGACAAAAACACATTCGTATTAAATTCAACTCCAAATGACCCTTAACGGCCTTTTTATGACCACACACTGAATGGTTTTCTATTGGACACTGAACTCTAAGCACTACATTTGTAGTGTTCCGGACAAGTGCGCTCTGGGTTGGGTTGTACATTGGCGATGCTGATGCTGAGGCTGCTGCTGATGATGATGGTGAAGTCCATAAAGCATGACTCACATTTAAATCCATACATCATTGGCTGGCTGGTCATTGGACAAACAGTGGCTACGAAACGGTGTATGAATATTCATTCGAATTAGTGGAATACAAAAGGGAAATTATCGAAATGGGAGACAATATCAAATGCAATTGTTCTTATCGGACCAAATCATAAATGAAATATTCATGTCAATCTGATGTCCAGAATTTTCATTATGTCTACATTGATTGGTAAGTTTGTATTACACCATGCAAAGGTACCTCTTGATATCGGGTATTTTAAAAATTTACGCCACATTTTAAAACAAAATTGTTTGTAATTCAATATTAAGGGATAGTAATGGGTTGTGCATTTCTATAACTTCACGTTTTCAGTATTGTGATAGTAAAAATAATCTTTATCAATAACTAGCAAGTACCCATGGTACAATGAAGAGAAGGTAGGCCAACTTTGAAAAAATTGCAAATATAGAGGTCTACCTGTATCAAAACAATAAAAAATCAAACAACTTGTTGCATTTATTTTGAATAAATAATTGAAAAACGCGATAACTGAATGAAAGGTCAAAATTTCTTTTCAAAATCATGTTCTATATATCTCTTATGGTTTATTTCGCGACAAAAACTGAAGATTTTGTCAACGCATACGTCGCAATAAGCATTTTGAAAACACCCGAATTTCAAAGTTTTCTGAACAATTTTTTTGTTATTGAAAAGAAAACACATACATAAACAAATAAAGATGACATATTAAGCCAAGAAAATAAAAAAATTAAAATCATACGGTATCATAGCCCTGCCTTGATATCATTGTACCATGCAAGTACCCGCAGCGTCGTCAATATAAAGTCCACCTTAAAATTTTAGATCCATTGCAAGAGTTCTTGTTAGCCCTTTTAAGTACTACACCTGCACAATTTGTTTAGTTTGACAACATTTGTAATCAAAACTTTATACATCGTACTAAATTTTCAGATTTCCAAGGTTTTATACATTGTCCAATTTTCTCTATCTTCGGAAAGAATAATAGGAAAATATTTTCCAAACAGTCTTGAAGTTTACCGAGGAAGAGTAAAACCATTGCACAATGGATCCACATTCAAATTTTCTGTTGAAAACTACCACCTTCTTTCAAAACTAAATACAAACAGCGACCGTCATATAAAACTTCAGAATTTCAGTTATATCCTATTCAATCCCAAATTTATTGGGGCACTTTTCGTTGTCACTAACATTGACCTCGACATCGACTTTCAGAATTCCATCTTTATTCCAACATCCAATAGCACATTTTGTGGCAATTTACACCTTTCGTATGTTCATAGAACGCAATTCCAAAATCACCTCCATTTCTCAACTACAGACACCAATAGTGAAAACTATATCCAAATTCAGGATTTCAGAACCAAAATTATTAGCATAAATATACTAAACTTCGTATAGTTGATGTACGCATTTTACCACCGTGACCTTAATATCCAATTTCAAGATTTGAGCTCTATAATTTCGCTTATTACTAAATTTAGTTCCATTTAGTAGAAATTTAGTACAATTATAGCTCCTTCTCTCAACTACCGAGACCTCTATATCAAATTTGGGATTCCAACTCTATCCCTTCACCTAACACCAAATTTAGTACCATTTAGTACTTTTCGCACAGTACACATTTCCAAAACCACCTCCACATCTCAGTTCCAGATACCAACAGAGTCCTCTATATCAAATGTGGGATTCCAGGTCTTTTTTTCACCCAATAGGAAATGTAGTACCACCAAGTACTTTTCGTTCAATTAAAGTACACATTTCCCAGAACTACCTCTACATTTCAAATCAAGATACCAAAATAAATACCTTCACAAAATACCAAATTTATTTCTCCATGTTACAAACAAATCCACAGAGACTAATACCCTTACCACTATGTGGTGTTGGGTAGAAACACTGAAGTTACCCAGTAAACAATTTTTTCCGACTGCTCTGATTTTAGATTTTTTTCCGAAATTTCTGACGTTTTTTTCAGAAATTTCTGATAGAAATTGGTCCGATTTTCTAAACGTTTTTTTTTAGAATTTCTGCACATTTTCCTGTGTTTTTAAGCGAAAAAAAACTCGAAAAATGTACAAACGGAGAGAGTAGATTGTCTATTGCTCTCGCATATTCTCTTCCACATGTAAACGGATGGTGGTGGTTTGACACATTCTCTCCCATAGTAGTTGTTGTTGTGATCATTCATTTCAAGATCTCAACAACAACAAAGCGCAAAGCAAAAATGCTATTTGTTATTGTGAACTGTTAGATTTTCCGTTGTAAAAATGTGCGTTTTGTTGTTGTTGTGAATCAGCCTCTTTCTCTTTCGTTCCCAAAAAAACATGATGGAAAAAAATTGCAAAAACAACTACATACATAATATTTATAATGTAAATGTATTATAGATGTAATATTTAAACTACATTTTTACGAAACTCGAAATAAATTGTTTGTTTTTTAAATAAATATGTGTTTTTTTTTTTTGCATTTTTAAGTGGTGTGACGATTTTTTCGATATTTCTTCCGAATTCTGAACGATTTCTTTCAGAAAATCGGAACTTTCTCCCGAATTCTGAGCGTTTTTTTTTTCAGAAAATCTGAATTTTATTCCGAATTTTCTTTCGAATTCTGACCGATTTCTTTTAGAAAATCTGAATATTCCGCCGAATTTCCAGACGAATTCTGCCCGATTTCTTTCAGAAATTCGGAGTTGTCCTCCGAATCTTTTCCGAAAATCTAATTTTTTCTCCTATTTTTTCAAGAATTTTCACCGAATTCGGACCGAATTCGTCCAGAAAATCTAATATTTTTTCAGATTTTTTTCAGAAAATCTTTCCGAATTCGGTGACCACGTCCATACAACTTTCGTACCGAAATCGGAAGGAATTCGGAATCAGAATCGGACATTTTTTCAGAGATTCTGACAGAAATCGGACCGAATTCGGCAAAAATTGTTTACTGGGTAGCTGTGCAAAATATCGAAGTCCTTGTCACCAATTTTATACATTTTGTTCCACAGTGCAGACAATTTAAGCAGTTTTGTGATATATAGCTGTGATTGCTTATATTCATTGGCTATAAACTATAAATTTTTACGTATCTAACGCAGCTATACACAGCGAAAATAGTTTAGGAATATTTCAAAAAGTCATTTTTTATAACAACCCCATTTTGATATTTCAAATAAAAAAATGCACATTGCACACCTGATTCATTCGAAATCAAACCGACTCCCTGATTCTTTCGTTACATATTTTTCTCACTGCACATTATTTGTTTTCTTACTTTCTCAAAACAAAAAAACTGCAGAACTTTTGTTCCGATTTTATTTTTTTATTCATCTTTCTTCAATCTGTTTGGTTTTTTTTTCTGCTGTTGTTTTCTATTTCATTTGCCATGAATTCTTGTTTACTTTCCAGAGGTGCATGTCCGTGCTCTGTTAACAAAACATGTGTGGATCCCAATCAATCATGCAACTGTGATGTTAAGGAAAATAAATGGTATTCGGATGAGGGCTACTACCGGGAACCGCATAGCTTAGGCATTACACACATGTACTTCCTGCAACAAAAGGATTTGGACGACGAAGCTCAGGGCAGAATAACATTGGGGCCTTTGGAGTGTGTCGAGACAAGTGAGTATGACTGAAGCCCAACCACCCAAACACCCACCCACCGACTTGATTAACAACAATGTTTTGGCAATGCAAACTCATTTTTGGCACATTTCCTCATTGTCCCCCACCTCTCTTTTATTTCTTCATTGCAGATACCCAACGCTATGTGGTGACATTTACCACCTCCCAATCGTACATCGAAGTACCTGGCTGGCGCAAAGGCGATATTGCCTTTTCGTTCCGTACCACAGGCGAAAAGGCCATATTATTATTCCAACCAGCCATACGACCGTATCATCCCTCCTTTATGGTCGCCCTGACCGGTGACTATCAATTGACATTCAATTTCACCCTGAGCACTGGAACCACCCGAGAGTTGGTAATTAACTCGCATCGCAAGTTAAATGGCGGCGAATGGCATAAAATATGGATTGACTATAATCAGTATCATGTCCGTTTCATGATAAATACCGACTATCAAATGGTTGATCTATTGCCCGAAGAGGAATTCGGTCCGTTCGAGGGCAGTATGTATATTGGCGGAGCCACAGCGTAAGTACTAGCTCATTGTTGTTGTTGTTAAGTAAACAACGAAGGAGGCATTCAGTTATTCAGCTGATACCAAGGATAAAAATTGTTATCCGTAGTACGGCTGAAGACACTATATACCTTAAATGCACGGCATCTAAGGGAGCTTAATCTGAATATCTAAAAGGGGAGGTCACTTTTCGATGTTAATTTTCAAAGCGCCAATACACGTGTCTTCTAGTTTTAGTTATATTTTCATAATCTACTGGATTTTTAATGTAATGTTGGAAAAATATTTAATTTGTCGCACAGTGTTATTTAAAATAGGATACTAGACGTAGACCGATAAGTCCCATTTTCACACTACATCCAATGAAGGTGGAAGTACTACGTTGTGTGAAATTTAAAGAAGCATCGGTTGTTTATTTCGCATTTTAGCAGTTGTAATCACGATAGAGTCAAAACAAATTAAGATAGGAAGCTAAAATTTTGCATAAATCAATGTTTTGTCTGCAAGCAGGACAAGTTCGCGGATTGGCTACATCGGTCCACGATAAATCCACACAATAGGTTCTTTCTGAGTTCTTTACCCCCTGGAAGAGTATTGTCTATATCGGTCCACGGTAAATCCACACAAAAAGTTCTTTTTAAGTACTTTACCCCCTGGAAGAGTATTGTCCATATAGGTCGACGACACCGTATATCCCCCAAATAACGGTACCTCCCTATATTCAGCATTTTGATGATTTTAGCTGCCTTTTTTAATGGAGTTGTCTAAAAATCCACACAAGGAGTTATTTTTAAGTACTTTACACCCTAGAAGAGAATCGTCTATATGGGTCCACGATATCGTATACAATGGTACCTCAGATATTCGGAATGTTTATGATTTTAGGGACATAATTCACCCGGAATTGTTTCAAATTTCGTATTTAGAGTTCCTAATAAGTACTAAAGCCTACGACAGAAAATTGCGATTGCGTATAGGCCCCTTATATCAGTATCTCCCTATATTCGGTATTTTGACGATTTTAGGTATAATATTTACCAATATTGTTTGAAATTTCGTATTAGAAGTTCTAGGCCTTCGTATAGCCCCAAAATAACGGTACCTCCCCATATTCGGTATTTTGATAATTTAAGCTACATAATTCACCGATTATTTTTTCAAGTTTCGTATTTTCGTATTTGAATATAATAGTTTTATATGAAGTATTTTTCAACTTTTTTATCAGTCATTGGGCTATAAAGGGTATGAATAATTTGATACGACCAAAGAGTGCCTCATAGAAATAACGTTTTAGACCCTAAGTCTCTTTGGACTAAATCCTTTTCAGGACATTTGGAGTCGATCTAGCGATGTCCGTCTGTCTGGCTGATGTGAGCGATAACTCTCGAAGGGAGTATCCAACTTCATCAAAACTTGGTACAGAATAATATTACTGTCAAACTCAGATCTAGTTCGGAGATGGGCAACATCGGTTCACACCTTTTGGTACTTCTCCCGCAAACGATTTCAAAAAAATATTTTGCTGCACAGAAAGAGAAAGGATAATCCGGTTTTGCTCCAACTTTGCAAATCCTAATATTTACTTCAGTTCTAGGTCAGGTATGAAAATGGACAATATCGGAACACTCAATCAAGTACCTCCTCCCCCCCAAAGGGTCAACATTTTGAATAATTATAACTCTTAGAAAATGTGACGTAAGAGTCCGATTGTCTTCAAATCACACAAATCACAATATTCTTACTAACCCAAGGTCTGATATGAAGATGGATTATATTGGTCTACTCCTACTGGTACCTCTACAAGGGGTCAACATTTTGAATATCCATGAAACTAAACACAAGATCTGTTATAAAGATGGTAGAGACCGGACCTTTCCTTTTGATACCTTTACCACAAACGGCCAAAGTTTTGAACAACCAAAACGATTATAAGATCCAAAATAAGCTTCCGGTTCTCTTCATATTTCACACATCCCATTATATTTACTAACACAAGATCTGCTGTAAACATGGGATATATCGGTCTTTTTTTCTGGTACCTCCCCCCACAAAGGGTCAACATTTTGAATATTCATGAAACCCATAAAACACGAAATTAACATACCATTCCATTCAGACTTGGCACAACCCAATATTTCTATCAACACAAGATCTGTAATAAAGATGGTAGAGATCGGACCATTCCTTCTGGTACCTCCTGCACAAAGGGACAATCCAAAATAACCAAAACGATTATAAAATTCAAAACAAACAACCGGTTCTCTTCATATTTCAAACATTCCATTATTTTTACTAACACAATATCTGCTGTGAGGATGGGAAATATAGGTCTTCTCTTTCTGGTACCATCCCCACAAAGGGTCAACATTTTGAATATTCATGAAACTCATAAAATGTGAAATTAATATCCGATTCCATTCAGACTTGGACAGATATCACAATGTTTCCATCAACACAAGATCTGTTGTAAATATGGTAGAAATTGGACCATTTCTTCTGGTACCTCCCCCACATAGGGTTCAAAATTTAAAAAACAAAACGCTCAAAGCGTTTGTTTTGAAAAACAAACGCTAATTCGATTTAAGAATCCAGCTCTCCTCAAATTTCACACATGCAACATATTTGCGAACCCCTTCCGATACCTCACCCACAAAGGGTATAAATTTTCAATACTTTTTTTTTCATAACTTGCGAAACACGTCAGCGATTTTTTACAAGTAAAAATTTCTCTCAACCAGAAACCTGTGATGAGTATGGAGTTTATGATTCCGCATAAAATTGAATATAAATCTTCGATTTACTTGTAATTTTGCCCATACCAATATTTTTGTCTGTATTAGATGAAGTATTAAAATGGAATAATTCGATCGAATATATCTGATAGTTCACGCACACTTTAAAATTTTCTAAAAATTATCGAATATCTCATGTAAAGTGAAGGAAGTAACCAATATGGTCCAAACCTGGCACGTCGCAATATTTATATCATATTTATTTAGGTAAGATGGACAACAGTTGGAAACTACTCCATAGAGGGGTTAAAAATTTGAATAATCGTAACAGAAATCAAAATATATTTCAATAATCGAGCATTGGGCAGAGGATATACATCTGTCGGCTAAACCGACTGATACTTTTTAACTGGTTTTATTTTTCGCAATTTTTCTCCCTCAGCAAAAACGGTGTGGCGTAGTAGTGTAACATATCACATAGTCGACCCTGTTAACTATATAATTTTCCTACTTCACGCATTTTAATACAAACCTAATTAGCACCATTTCATATTCTGATCTCCTCCGTGGCATATTAAAATTGAGTGCTTAACATTTGATCCAGTCAATCCGTGTGACATACATATTTATTTATTTTTAATTTTCAATTTTTTTTTTTTTTGTAATACCATGACGATTGTGATTAATTGAGAGTGTAATACAATTTCCATGCAATATGTCATCATTATTGGATTACTCAATTATATGTTGTGGTTATTACCGGGGATAGGAAAAAATCCAATCACGCATCGCAAAAAAAATTTGCAAAAATAATCGCGTAGTAATGGAGCCAAAAACAACAAAAAAAACTCGAATATTAATCAACCAAAAATGTTCAATTACTTTGCAAATTTTATTTCCAATTTTTGATTTTCAATATACGAGTAGTTTAAAGAAGTCCTTTGCAAAGACAGGACGGTCAGGTCAGTCAGTCAGCCAGCTAGCCAGCCAGTTCATATTGTTTGCTGTTTCCTGCATGGCTTGAAGCCATTCAGCCATGAGCCACTAGATGGTGATATTCATTTACATCAGTGCCACCTGCCACGTTCAGTCATGCATGCGGCGAGTTTCGTGATGTGCACATGTGTATGTGTGTGTGTTCGTGTGTGGTATTTTATTCCATATTATGGAGTGCAGTTGATGTCCAGTAACCACTTGAAAATTTATGTAAAACACTTGTATAATTAATGTTAAAAATATTTTTACCATAACGACAACACATCAGCAGAAGTAGCAGCATCATGGCAGTTGTTGTTGCTGTTGTAATATCGCCTCGAAGCTAGCCTTAAAATGTGGGTAGTTAATATGGGGTCACAACTATAAAATGCATCTTTTGCATACATATATCTGCCGGAATGACAATGAGCTGTGACTTAAATTAGAGTGGACCAAATAAATGGGAATTAAAACAATAACAAGTTAAAAAGCAGTTAGTTCGGCCGGGCCGAACTTTGAATACCCTCCACCATTTGGAACGAATTTGGAAATAAAATCCTGAAAAAATTTTGGTAAAATTTTAAAAATACCGAATATTGACGTTATATTGGTGCCTATACGACGTGGCATTATTTGTCATGAGTCATTACCAAATTCAAATTCGGAACTTGAAATAAACGCGAATAATGTAGCTAAAATCATCAAAGTATAGAATATAGGGAGGTACCGTTATATCGGAGCTGTGCGAAGACAATTTTTTGTCATATTCTGTAGCATCCATTACGAACTTCAAATACGACATTTCAAACATCTTCGGTGAGTATTGTAACTAAACTCGTCAAAATACCGAATATAGGGAGGTACTGGTATATGGGGCCTATACGAAGACCTGGACCTGCATAGACAATTTTCGGTCACAGACTGGAATTTCCATTACGAACTCTAAATGCGTAATTTGAAAAAATGTTGGTGAATAAAGACGCTAAAATCACAAAAATACCGAATATAGGGAGGTACCGTTATAGAGAGGCTATACGAAGACGTGGACCTGAACAGACAATTTTTCGTCTTAGGCTGTAGTATCCATTGCGAACCTCAAATACCAAATTTTGAAACTATCCCGGTGAATAATGTCGCTAAAATCATCGAAATACCGAATATCGGGAGGTACCGTTATATGGGGGCTATATGAAAACGTGGACCTGCATGGCCCATTTACGAACTTAACCTGCCTACTGTAAAAATAAACCTTTGTGCAAAATTTTAGCCTTGTATCTCAATTCGTTCGAAAGATAGCGTGATTACAA